CTATTGTGCAGCCAAGTTGAGAATCACTGTGCTAGAGGGCCAGTGCTCTTCCCTGCATCCACGCCACACTATCCCTATAACATTTAATACACTGTAATACTACACTTATGTTCAGCACCTGAAGTTGTATGGCATTTAACTTAAAAAGCTTTAAAGGGTCTGTTAAGTAATCACTTACTTATTCATTTATTTATTTTAGAGAGAGAAAGGGAGAGGGAGAGAAACATCAGTGATGAGAATCATGGATCTGCTGCCTCCTGTATGTCCCCTAATGGGTATCAAGCCTGCAATCCCAGCATGTGCCCTAATGGGAATCGAACCGTGACCTCCTGGTTCATAGGTCGATGCTCAACCAGTGAGCCACGCTGGCCGGGCCCTAGGGGATTTTCAAGGACACGGAGTAAAGCCACCGGAAAGGGGATCCAGGGTTTAAAGGGCATAACCCCGCTCACTTCTTTCTTTTAACCAGGACGCCTTTTCTTTTAATTTTTCCTTCTTTCCACCGACCCTCATGTTGCAGATTATGAGACACACAGGTCTCTGCCTGCAGCACCCCAACCCCCGCAGGCAGGGTTATTAGGAAGGGTTGAGGCTTGTCTCATGGCTCTAAGCCTCAGGCACTGGGCCCTGCCTGCTTCCTGGGTGTTTGTAAACACACAGTGTGGCTCCTCCTGAACTGTCCTGGGGGAGGACCAATTGCCCGGAGGACTAGGAGGGTCAGGAGTGGGGTTTTCTGGGCGGGACAGTCTCCAGGGCAGAGGAATTTGCAGCGACCTGTCTCGCGTGGACTGGGAGGTGCTCTGTCTCCCTGGCGTAGCTCACTCCCTGGTGTGACGTTGCTGTGTGACGGGGGTGGGGAGGGGGGCCCTGCCTAATGGACCTTGGGTCCCAGCAACCGTCGGTCCTCCCAGGCAGGTGCCGGCAGCAGCCCGGGGCCGAGAGTGTGCGTCATCGACGAGGTGGGGAAGATGGAGCTCTTCAGCCAGCCCTTCGAGAAGGCTGTTCGGCAGACCCTAGCCGCCCCGGGGACCGTGGTCCTGGGCACCATCCCGGTCCCTAAAGGGAAACCGCTGACCTTCGTGGAGGAAATCCGGAGCCGGGCGGACGTCCAGGTGTTCAGTGTGAGTACCGACGCCACCGTGGCTGCGGGCGGAGTGAGTGGGTGACCTGAAACCGCAGTGGCTCTCAGTAGACCGTGGCTTTGAATGGCCCCCCTTTTAGCTCGAGGACGGAGTGTGGGTGAGCCTCCCTTTCGAGGAATTGACCTCTACTCCCTGTGCAGGCAGACCTCAGGGAGGCCTCGGGCCCAGCTGGCTCTCCCGGCTGAGGCTGCTTCTCAGATGGAGCAGCCTGGATGCTGAGGAGCCCGTACCTCACACCTGGCACCCGGCTCATCCTTGGTCCCTGGCCCTACTTCATCCCATACCTCACCCTGCCCCCACCCCACCCCCGGCCTTGCGGGCTCTTCTAGAACAACCATGTCAAACTCAAAGGCTAACACAGCCCCAATAATCCAGCAGCCCGGCCCGGGGGCGCTAGGCCCCCCGCCTCCCGGCTCTGAACCCGAGTGGTTTTCCGCAGGGAAAGCCTACAGCTGTTTCCCATAAAGGGCTCAGAGGGCAAGTCGGCCTGCACGCCGGCTGCCGCAGGACTGGTCACGGCCGTGCGGATCACCGGCGCCGCCGCCGCCGTGGCTGCGGGCGGAGTGAGTGGGTGACCTGAAACCGCAGTGGCTCTCAGAAGACCGTGGCTTTGAATGGCCCCCCTTTTAGCTCGAGGACGGAGTGTGGGTGAGCCTCCCTTTCGAGGAATTGACCTCCACTCCCTGTGCAGACAGACCTCAGGGAGGCCTCGGGCCCAGCTGGCTCTCCCGGCTGAGGCTGGTTCTCAGATGGAGCAGCCTGGATGCTGAGGAGCCCGTACCTCACACCTGGCACCCGGCTCATCCTTGGTCCCTGGCCCTACTTCATCCCATACCTCACCCTGCCCCCACCCCACCCCCGGCCTTGCGGGCTCTTCTAGAACAACCATGTCAAACTCAAAGGCTAACACAGCCCCAATAAACAAGGCAGGCAGCCCGTGGGCCGCGAGTTTGACATGCTCGTTCTAGACCAGTGGTTCTTAATAAATAGTTAAATAGTTCCTCATGTTGTGACCCAACCATAAAATTATTTTCGTTGCTACTTCATAACCGTAATGTTGCTACTGTTATGAATCGCCATGTAAATATCTTATATGCAGGATGGTCTTAGGCGACCCCTGTGAAAAGGTCGTTCGACCACCAAAGGGGTCAAGACCCACAGGTTGAGAACCTCTGCAATAGACCATTGACTGCGGGGGCACGAAGGGAGGAAAGGGGCTCTGAGGCCTCCTGCTTCCCCCTGCCCCACAGGTCACCAAGGAGAACAGAAACCACCTCTTGCCGGATATTGTGAGGTGCGTGCAGCGCGGCGGGAAGTGAGTGATGGGCTCGCCCACCCGTCCAGCAGTCCGGCCCGAGGGCGCGGCCCCCTCCCCCCACGCCCCCCAGCTCTGAACCCGAGTGGGTTTCCGCAGGGAAAGCCTGCAGCTGTTTCCCATAAAGGGCTCAGAGGGAGAGTCGGCCTGCACGCCGGCAGCCGCAGGACTGGTCACGGCCGTGCGGATCACCGGCTGTTTATTTCCTCTGCGGTTGTGCGTCTGATTGGGGTAAATGCTGAGATGAGGAACGTTCCAGCACCAGATGGGATCCGCCCCAGTGAAGCTGATGAATGTGTGTGGGGGAGGGGGGTTCCTGCCTCATCTGTTCTGCTCTTCGCCGACGTGAAGCCCTCCCAGGTGCGTCTGCATCTCGTGCAGCCTGAAGCGTGAAGTTACTTGATTTTTGAAAAGGATTATTTTGAAAGAAGAGCCTTTCGGGCCCTCCTCCCACCATCTTTTCCTGTTTCCTTGTTTGCTTATTACTTTGTGAAATAAAAGGAGCGTGATGGTTGCAGACACGTGGGTTCTCGTGTGGAGCCGGCCGGGCCCATTGGCGCTCGGTAGGTGTGGGCGGGGTCAGGGGTCAGACTAGGGCTCCACCTTGGCCCGATCCTTAAACCTTTCTGTGCCTCGTTTCCCGCCCCGAAAACAGGGAAGTGTGTCATCACGGGGTGGCTGTGGCCACCGTGGAAGGGGACCCCCATTACTCCCACTTGCTCCCCAGGGAGCCCAAGCCAGGCCGGGCTGTCAGATGGCGGCCGGCATGGAGGAGCCACTGGTCCCCGGAATCGGAGGGTAACACTGCCCTGGAGTGGTCGGGGCTGTGGTGTGATTCAGTTTCATGTGTTTTGGTGATTTCTGGTGAAGATCTAGGACTTTCTGGGACTTTCTTAGCAATTAGCATTAGCTACGAACCTGGCCGGCGTCAGTGCCAGGTGTGCAGGGAGGAACTGTGTACGACTGTTGCCACTATAAGTGTTTCTAAGTATTGCTCGTCCGAAGGGAGGTTCCTGGGGTATGATGGGTCCCTCAGGGCGGAAGCGGCCTGCAGCTCTGCCCTGGGACACAGGCTGGGAAAAGTCCCAGGATCCGCCCAAATGCTCCTCCCAGGAAAGGACGCATTTTAAGAAATGACAAGTTTCGGCAGAACGCAAAGAACTGGAAACAGCAGTAACTACAAACCCTTTAATTCCAAAAATACAGGAGTGTGCAGGGCCCGGGACCCGGTGGGGACTCCTTGGCCTGGGGAGCAAGCGTGTGTCCCGGGAGGACCCGGCCCGGTGGCCTTTGGGACGTCGCTCTGGTGAGTGGGGCACCGCGTCCCTCCCCAGTGGTGTCCATCCGCCCGGGCTGCACGTCCAGCTCTCACGCGGGGATGTGGGCTGTCACACGGGGCCGTGGACATGGCTGCATGCACGTCACCATTCATACGCACCTAACATTGGCGTGGACGCTACAGAGCAGAGAGTGTCTGTGCGTGGACGTGACCTCAGCGCCTGGGCCCGTGGCTGGTGGGGTGGGGTGGCCACTAGCTGCTCTTTCTTGGTGACGGGAGTGT